CGCCTCCGATTATCAATTCGTTTCTTTAATCAGGTAATTACGTGATTTTTTCGTTTAATTTGAAATCGTGCTTTAATTCAAGTGCTTGATCCCTTGAATAGGTTTAATCGAAGATCTCGATCTCGAATCGAGCAATGGCGGCGATCACCATGAAGGTTAAGTACAAGACCAGCGTCAAAGACCCTGGGGTCCCTGGAGTTCTCAAAATGGTAAACCCTAGCCTCTCCTTTTTGTTTAATTTTAGTAATTTTCAAACGACCTATTTTTATTTTGATTTGCAGAACGAGGAGAAATTTGTTTTTGTTCCTAATGATCCTAGGTCTTCAGCGTCAAAGCTTAATGTGGGGTTTAAGAACATTAAAGGTACTCAGGACTATTCTTGATATGAAATTGTCAATTTTCAAAACTTTTATAGTTTAAAAGCATACAGCTTGAGATTTTTAATCTCATATTATTTCAGGTCACAAGTTTAGTAAAGATGGGTCTAAACAAGCATTGTTGAATCTTACACTGGATTCTGAGAAGGTAAATGAATCGATTCATGCGTATCTATAGCTTTCCCCTTACTCTAGCTTGTATTGTTTAGTTATCTTACAAAATTGCATGAAGCTTACTAACATAAGTTAATTCCTGTTTCAGGGTGGAGGTTACATTTTTGAGTTTGATAATTTTCCGGACCGCAATGCTTGCCGAGATTTTGTTGGTAAGAATTGATTTCAGACCATGATTGCTTTTGTTGACATTTGTTAACTTTTTTTCTTTAAAGTTGGGAGTATTCTTCATTGTGATGATGCTTGGATATCTATATTTAGATGAAATAATCTATTGATTTGCTTGACTATGTACATCTTTACTCTAAACTTTGCAAATTCATACGAAGCAAACTTCTCTAGGAAGACAGTTTCCTGACAGCATTTACATTTGAGTTGATTTTCATTTTTTGTACTCTTCTAAGATAATGTCGAGACTTTAAAATTTTCAGATTTTTAAAAATAATTTTAACCACGAACGTATCAGATATAATACTTAACATGCTGGGAGTTAGGGTGTAATGGATATCTAATATATCCAAAATTGCTTTGTGTCTATAATCAGTGTCCTTATGATTCATAGACAGATGTGCATATATATCATGTCAATCTCCATTGGCTTCACACTAGCAAAGTTGATGCATACTGCCTGTTGTTCCTTTAACAGGAAAAGTACTTGGAAAGTTTCAGTCTGTTGCATCCTCTACAAAAGACCAAGCAGTACCCGAAAAGTCCAATGCTACAGTTCATGCAGAACAGCTTAGTGCCTCGGAGATGGAGCGTCGGATGAAACTGTTGCGAGATGATAGGTATATCTATTGATTAAGTTATTCAACGCTTGCCACTGGTTGCCAACCAGTTGATCTGTGGGTACTAAACTTGTGTAGCATGAGGAACATCTCTTCCTCTTCGTTTATCTTGTACCATGCATGCTCATTTTTCTAGCCTTTTTTAGTTTTTAATAAAATTTTATCAATGAAGGCACGATGATGCTGTTGTATCATGTTCCGAAGGGTCATGGATTAATTTGACTGAACCTCTCAATACTTTATATACATAGGACAATCGCCAAAAATTTTCCACCCGTTGGTCACATCCTTACCTATATATATGCCCACGCTTCTTTGTTTGTGTTATGGATGTCTCGTAGTTTTCATCTGTGCTCTCATTTCATTTGAAGTAGCGGACATCATCAATCCTCCAGTTTATCTAATTCTCTTTAAATAAATTGAACTATTTTGATTTTATTATTTAAAGTCACTTATAGATACATTTGACAGTGAATTGCAGAAACTGCATAAGGAATTTGTCATTGGCGGTGTTTTGACTGAATCAGAGTTCTGGCGCCAGGACAGGTACTAGCCTGAAATGTTTTCCACCTCTTCTTCTTGGGATACGGTGTGGGGGGTATTGGCGCAACGGACTTGTGTCCGCGTTTGTTTGACGTCGTAGGGACTTTCTGAGTTAGTACATCTGATTTTTTTTTGAGAGGAGGCTGTTTATTCTTTACCTTTTTTATACATGGCATTAAAAATTTCTTCTTTGCTCTGGATGCAGAATTTACTTGGTAATGACGGTCGTAGAACATTAAAGCAACGGACGGGGCTCAAAAGTGCCATGCTTGCAGATGTCAGGCCATCAGCTGATGGTCGGGTACAATATCTCCCTTTCTTCTTGCACCTTTACTTATTCTGTGTCCTATTATTAATTTTTGAGAACTTTTTTCATTGGAACATGCAGTGTCCATCTTTTATATTTCTTTTGTATAGATAAATTTTGCATGTATGAGTTTTTCATGCTCTCTTTCTGTTGCAGGCGAATAAAGTTATGTTTAGCTTGACCCCAGAGATTATCCATCAGGTAATACTTTACCGTTTTAACACTTAACAGCTATCAGAGTTTTTAGTTTCACTAGTATGTGGTAAATTTACTGCACAAAAGACTTAATACACCAACCCATATAATTTTTGTGGGCAAAGTTGAGGATTGAATCTTAATGGAAAGCAATGCTTTAGAATGGATCATATTGATAATTAGCATAAGTTTTGATCCTAGTGTACTAAACTATAAGCATGCTTCTATATCTGCTGGTTTTGTTGCTGTTGTCAGAATCAGGATAGCATAGTGCACAACTATGTGCGCCACGCTCAACTGACTGAATCACATGCATAACTAAACCAAACCAAGTTTACCAGCGTATTATGCAATGCATTCAGTGAGCTCTGGTTACATGTTTAGTATTTTTCTTAGAATGATTTGTTGTAAATGGCAATTCCTTTATCATCATGTTGCCTTTTTGTTCCTTTTCAGATTTTTGTTGAAAAACCGGCTGTTCTTCGTGCATTTTTGAATTATGTGCCAAGAAAGGTGAGAAGATATATCTTCTAAGGCAATAGCTAACAACTTTGTAAAGTTTCTGTGACATCTGGTAGCTTACTAAAGCTGATTACTGTGGTCAAGGATCTTGGACTCAGAATCTTATGCAGTTCACGTTTTAGCTTTTGAGTATTTCACATTTAACTTTTGAGTAGTTCACATTTTAGCCTTATGTTCATGAACTTCCAGATGTCGGAAAAAGATTTTTGGACAAAATACTGTCGAGCAGAATATTTGCAATGGTCCAAGAATTCTGCAACAGTTGCTGCAGAGGCAGCTGAAGATGAGGATCTTGCAATATTTTTGAAGCAGGATGATATATTGGCCAATGAAGCTCGCCGAAAGGTACTTCACAGACCAGCTTTTTATTTGTATATATATTCCTCGTACAATCTGGTGTGACGGCTCAGCTTCCCCAATGTTTTATGTTGTTTGAACTTTGAAGGTGTTATATTTCTATTTCTGTAGACATACTTATGTTTGACATAGATCTCTTGGGTCAGATGAGACGTGTGGATCCGACATTAGACATGGAAGCTGATCTTGGGGATGACTACCTGCATCTTCCAGTAAGTGATGCTTTATCTTTATTTTTCTTACCTGTGCTACATGTTTTTTTTGGGTTGGATTATAATGTGGTGAGCTCATATATGTAGCCTGTCCTCAGATTTTGGTTGGTACTATTGGAGGTTGATGTTTTTTCGCTTTTGTGCAAGTTTGGAATGAATGATTTACTATATATTCGTTTAAAGAGCATCTTGTTATTGTTTTAGATATGGTTATGGGTTTCAATATCTAAGCTCACAGATTATGCATGGAGACTCCAAATTGTCTTAAAATGGTTCTATGAGTAAATTTCTTATTGAAATACTAATTAGAGGCATGCATGAAGATGCAGGAAATGCTGCAAGTTTACAAAATTTTCATGTTTAGCTATACCTGATGTATATGTGCTGTTCTACTTGCTAGTGCTGTTTTCCCTTATATGCTATAATGATCTTAAGATGTCCTTCCACGTCCTTCTAGTTGCTTGCATGTGCACATGGACATTAGTCCTTGCAAGAGTTCTCATTTGAAACATTTGAACTTTTTTATGTGATTGCATGGAGAAGATGACCCTTTTTACTTGTTAAGGTTCTATGCACAGTAATGCACTGAGACAAATGGCTGCAATAACTTACGTGTTAGGTAGATTAAAAATCAATCTTCACTATCATAAGACCCTCCATCAAAATGGGGTTACCTCGTAGCAAGATGTTGTAAATATCTTATATTAGCTTATGGCGGAATGACAAATACCATGTCCTGTGGCGGATGTTCGGGGCATTTGGTAAATGGAGGATGTTATAGCAGTTAGTGGATATATACATCCTAAATTCCCTAGATGCAATCTTAGCAAGTCAATACCTACTGCAAAAATCATGCTTAATACACACTTACCTTGGCACCTTGCTATTAATATAGCCAAAACAGTGATAAAATACATGTGTCTGCTGCTGTCCAGCTCTCAATTCTGACATTGGCTGATATTTAGAATGCGGTGGAGCACAAGTAAGACTTGAACAGGTTTAACCAGTGGTCGACCTAGTTTAATGCTTAAACCGTAGTTAACTATGTTCGGGAGAGGCCTGTTGTAAAATGTTGGCGGCACATTGGCAGGTAGGTAAATCTATCATCTTTCAGAGATGGAATTGAAGCTTGGTAGAAACCAGTGGGACTAATGTATACATAAGATAACACATTCCTAAGTAAGATTGGATAATGTTCCTTTTATTTGCAGCATTTATTTTGTTTTCATTTAGGTGGCTTATTTCCTGTATAAAAAAATCAATTCTGTGGTTTTTTGTTGTGACTGCATCTTAGGATCATGGTATTTTGCGTGATGGAACCAAGGAAGTTGTCGATACTGACAATGAGCTATCAAAGAGGTCGATCTCGCAGGATCTTAATCGGCATGCAGCTGTTGTCCTTGAAGGCAGGCCATTAGGTAGGTTTAAGTTTTCATGCATCCCTTATTCTATTCCTGTCTCCTGCATCTTGGGAAATCAAATTTAGCATGCTTTTAAGGATATCTGGTGCTATTTGCAATGGGAATGTTTTGTACCATTTAATGTACACCCTGAATGAGTGTCTCATTACTTTGTGTATACCGTGGATTGTTTGATTGTTTTCAGCCATTTGTCAAGTGTACATCACTGCTGATAAATCTGCAATAATGCGGCAAGCTTTATTGGTTCGAAACCCATCGTTGGTTTTGAACTTTGAATTTTGTGTTTTTAATTATTACATATTCATATTGTTTGTTACTTGATTTTACTTCTGGATGTTCAGTTTCTTAGCAAGAGGGGGTGGGGGTGGGGGGGTAACTGCACTATATGTTGACAGCTAATTTATCCTTGTGCCTCCACGTTCACTATTACTGCGTTTTTTGACATAGAGAGTAACCATGCATATTATTAAAACATCACCTTGTTTTTTGTCTCATTGTCTAGACATGGAGTTGGGAGACACACGGACTGTTGCTGAAGCTCTTGCAAGGTCCAGACAAGGTTAGCAAGGATCATATATTCTTAAGTCTTCTGTTCAAAATGTGTATTTATCATATTTCTCTAATTCGACTAACACTTCTGTATCTCGATTATTAAAATAATCTGTAGCCGAGTCCAATGAAACATCAGATGAGAATGAAGACTTGGAACGCCTAGAAAGGGTTTCTCGCATGACTGAAATTGAGGACCTTCAAGGCCCTCAAAACCTTCCATATGCACCACTATGCATCAAGGTGATAATTGGTCTCTGTCAATCTACATGAACTTGCTGGAAATTTTGTAACTAACACATAAGGTGCCCTGCTTATTGCATCAGGATCCACATGAGTACTTTGATTGTCAACTAGCAAATGCCCTAAAGGCTTTAGGTGACAGTGGCGCTGGAATAAAACCTGATTGCAGTCTTAACGCTGAGGAAGCCTATGTTTATTTAGCAGAGCAAATCTCTGAGGTGAAATTCCGTGGGTTGAATGATCCAGTTGTTCAACCTGAAATAGCACTGAAGGTAGATTTTCTGAAGTTAAAAGTAGCATATTCCTTTTCTCTGAAATTATTCAAATGGGAGATATTTCTTTCAATGCATATTCCCTGCAAGCTATTTGATACAGTGACTTTTTCCTGAACGGTAGGAATAGGAATTATATTCTCTCTCCTGGTTATGCCCTGTGTGTTGATAGCTAGTCAGGTATTATTTTTTTTTCTGTATTATTCATCCTACTGGAATGGGATGTAATTAGTGAAATTTGGAGAGAAAAGAGTTTCTTGGAGAGTTCTCCCCTCACTCTATACTTTATTATTTATAAAGATGGATTAGTTATAAGTTAGTCCCACATTGACTCACATGCAATGGGAGACTAAACCAATGCTAAACTAATACTCTCTTCTAACACTCCCCTTCAAGCTGGAGCATATATCTCATGCATGCCCAGCTTGTCACAAATAAAGTCAACCTGTGTTCGACTAAGTGGTTTTGAAAGAATGTTTGCCAACTGATGTACTGTCGGTACATGTTTTGCCGTGATGATTTTGTCCTTGAGCTTATTGCGGACTACATGACAGTCGAATTCAATGTGCTTGGTTCTCTCAACACGGGAGTCTCAGCAATTCACACATTGCTGTTTTATTATCGCCATATAGACTCATGGGACATTCTGGAGGGAGACCAATTTCTGTCAATAAGTCTCTGATTCAAACTATCTCTAGTGTCACATTTGCTATAACTCTGTATTCTGATTCTGCACTGGATCGAGACACAACACTTTGCTTCTTACTTTTCCATGACACCAGATTTTCTCCGAGAAAGACACAATATCCAGTAGTCGATATCCTATCAAAAGGACATCTAGCCCAATCTACATCAGAGAAGCCTGTAACTCTGGTGTGTCCTTGATCTGAGTAGAAAATTCCTCGTCCTGGAGCCTTCTTCAAGTACCTCAAAATTCTCATTACTGCATCCAAGTGAGTAGTTCTTGGTGCGGACAAGAACTGACTCACAACACTGATTGTAAATGTGATGTCAGGTCTGGTCATCATCAGATAATTTAGTTTCCCCACCAATCTCGTATACTGCCCAACATCCTTAAGAAGCTCCTTGGTATGGTAGTAGTTTTGAGTTCACATTCATTGGAGAATCACTGCGTCTGTATCCTATCCTGGCTTCTGAGAGCATATCCAAGACATACTTCCTTTGTGACAGAAGAATACCCTTCGTTGACTTTGCGACTTCAATCCCTAGGAAGTATTTTAGGGAACCAAGATCTTTGGTTTGAAAATATGTCTGTAAATACTTCTTCAGGCTGTCAATACCAGAAGCATCATCCACTGTAATTACAATGTCATCCACATAGACAACGAGCAAAATTTGTTTCCATTCTGAAATCGCCAGAAGACAAAGTGATCTTTCTGTGCACGATAAAACCCAAATTCCTGAATAATCGATGTAAAACATTCAAAACAAGCTCTCGGAGACCGTTTCAGACCATAAAGTGATTTCTTCAGCCTACACACCTTCGCATTCTCCCCATGAGCAATAAAACCTAGTGGTTATTTCATGTAAACCTCCTCATCTAGAATACCATTAAGGAATGCATTCTTGATGTCTAACTAATGAAGTGGTTAGTGATTTGTCACTGCTAATGAAATAAAAATCCAAACAGATGTAATTTTTTCCACTGGAGAGAAGGTATCTATGTAATCCAAGCCATACACTTGTGAATAACCTTTAGCAACCAGTCGGACTTTTAGGCGTGCTAAAGTTCCCTCAGGATTTAACTTGACAGTGTACACCTACTTGCAGCCGACGAGCCGCTTTCCTGGTGGAAGTGGGACCAAATCCCAAGTCTCATTTTGTAGTAAGGCCCTCAATTCGTCCTACATCGTTTGGTTCCAACCTGGAATAAACAGGGCTTTTGACACATTCTTAGGAACCAAATATGAGTCGAGAGGAGGGAAGTAACGAAAGATCGTAACGAAAGATCGAAAAGTAGAGGAGAGGTGATCATAGAAGACAAAGTTAGAAATAGGACGTTGAGTAAAAGTTCGTGTTCCTTTTCGAAGTGCATTAGGAAGATCTTCCGCAGAAGGGGTAAATTTGCATTTACTGATTCATAATCTTCGGACGGAGGATGTGGTGTTGAGACTGACGTCGGTACAGGAGCAGGAGTAGAGCGACGATGATAAACTTGAATTGGGTCGTTAAACCAAACTGAGTTTTTGCCAATAGCGCAAATAATATTGTCAACGGATGAACCACCACCGTTAACCAGTGACTCTTGCAGGATCAAATAGTCATACTCATCCAGTGATAATATAGATGGAGAACTAGAATGATTGGGTTTATCTTCAAAGAATGTTACATCAACAGATAACACAAGATGATTGAGTGACGGACAGAAACACTTATAACCTTTATGCTTTCGGGAGTAGCCAAGAAAATATCTTTAATAGATCGGGAGTCAAACTTTTATTTATTTGGACTGTGATTATTAACAAAGCACAGAGAGCCAAAGATCTTTGGAGGAAGCGGAAAAAAATCATCCTTAGGGTATAGAATTTTAAAATGAATTTTATCTTGCAAAACAGAAGAGGGCATTCGATTAATCAAGTAACATGCTATTAAGATAGCTTCCCCCCAAATTTTTTTGGGAACGCGACGATGGAGTAGCAAGGTCCGAGTAATATCAATAAGATGTCTATCTTTCGTTCAGCAACTTCATTTTGTTGATAAGTGTAAACACAAGAAGACTGATGGAGGATTTCATGTTCAAGGAAACTAGTGAAGTTGTCATCCAAATATTCCTTTGCATTATCAGATTAATTTTTTTATTAAAGTCTTGAATTGATTGACTATTTTAGAATAAAAGAGTTTAAATGTAGAAAAGACTTCACACCTAAACTTGAGAAGATAAATCTAAGTAACACGAGAGTGGTCATCCACAAAACTGACAAAGTATCAGAATTCTAATTTAGAAGTTATTAGGCATGGCCCCCAGACATCAGAATGAATAAGATCAAATGGCTTAGTAACCTTCTTATTGACTCGATTAGATAAGACACACAATGATGTTTGTCAAGTTGACACGACTCACACTTTAATAAAAAAAGAGATTTGAACTGGGGATTAAGAAGCTTGAGAACAGAGAGAGGGATGTCCTAACTGACAGTGGTATTGTAGGATTGATAAGTTTTTGATACAAGCCAAATGTTAGGCGCTTAATTCTAGTTTATAAAGGTCGTGCTGCTCATGTCCTGTCCCAATCGTTTTCCTCATGACCATGTCCTGAAAGACACAATGTGTAGGAAAAAAATACCACTGTACAGTTTAGATATTTTGTAATCTTACTAACAGATAAAAGATTATAGCAAAAGCTAGGAAGATAGAATACGGAGGAAAGAGGAAGACTAGGGGTAGGATTGGTGTTGCCGGCACCCTGAACAGGTATACGTGAACCATAATGTAACTGAATTAGATGAAGGGGAGAAAGATGATAAGATACATTAATTTCTAGTCATATGATTAGTGACACCTGTATCTATAATCCAAGTATGAGACAAAGACGAAGTAAGTAAAGATAAAAGGGTACATGTACTTTTGAGAGTAACGGATAAGAAGGAAGACGATGTTTGTGAACTCTGGTACTGCTGGAATAATTGAAATTGCTGAAATTAACATTGCAGCTCCGTATCATGGAGAAGTGACTGTGGTTGACTTTCATTGTCAGACGAGGTAAAGTTATCCTGAGCGGTCATGTAAGCACCATTGACATTTTTATTTTCCAATTCAGAACAATTATATTTGAGATGTCCTGGCTGGTGACAATAGTTACAAGTCTTCACCGAGTCATCGCTATGAGTATGTCCGCATTGAGATGGACTTCCGCGGCCACCTCGTTGACCACCTCGACCCCCCAGAATGACCAGAGTGATAACATCTTTCCCTTCAAAGTTTCCTCTACCTCTTTTAGGACCACCGGTGTGACCCCCTCGTCCATAAGACTGCCAACTCTGAGTGACAAGCGCAGAGCGATCCGCAGTGAATGTAAGTGCTTGTGCATGGACAACGTTCTTCAGAAAGTCATACAGTGAATGTAAGTGCCTGTGCAGGGACAACGTTCTTCAGAAAATGATAAGTCTTAGTCAGAGAACTAATGACGGAGCTCCTCATGATTTGTGGTCGAGCAGAGGAGTAAATGAAATCTAGGGTACCCAAGTAGGTGAGTATCATAAGTTTGTTTCATTGGTTCTGTATTTGTTTTACATCTCCAGTAATAAAAAAATCTAACGAAGTTTCTCAGTCAGACGGTTAAACTCATCATAATGATCATCCATAGGTTTACTAGCCTGTTTCTTATGAAACAGCTCTTGAATTACTTCATATGTCCGATTAATATTGCTGCTACCCCCATAGAGATCTTGTAAAAAACATTAAAGTTCCTTCACTGTCATACAATGAAGAACTAAATCCTGAATTTTAGGCTTCATAGTATTAAGAATTTGATGTAAGAGGACACTATTGTCCAATGTCCAAGATTTTAGTGTCGGAGTAGGAGAGTCCGTTAACAAATGGCCAGTATTGCCTCGACCTGTTACATAGATTTCAATAACACGCTTTCATTAGAAATAGTTAATTCCATCAAGTTTCCGATCAGTGATTCTACCAAAAAATATCTCCGAAACTTTCATCTGAGTCGCTAACTCAGAATTCTTGAGTTCCTCAGATCCGATCATCATGAAACAGACGAGTAAAGTTCAAGATAATACCCTCCACAAGTTGTACTCCAAAATAAAAACAATCAAGACATATCCAAGTTTAAGATAATAATTCTTGAATTAGTCAGTAGGCTGAACAAGTCTAAGAACCTGAAGGTTTAATTTTGAACCTGAATGTTAAGATGGAACCCGAAGGTTAAGATGGAACCCGAAGGTTTATTATTTAACCCGAAGGTTAAATAAATAAATATATGTATATAAATATAAAAATAATAATTTTTTTGGAAATCTAGATCGGATGACGAAGGAAATCAAAATAAAAAAGAAGACGAGGTCAGCAGTGATGAAGCCATCGTCGTCATCTTCGCTGTACAATCAGGAGGTCGACAAGGGGATTGACGAGGGGATCGTGTCGGTGGTGGGAATGGAGGTCGACGACAACGACGCCCTTGGCTTTCTCAGCGAGCTCGAGAGGATCGTGTTCGCTTGATGTCGATTTCTTCAATTTGTTCGAGGACGAGGATGAGGACGTGCACGAGGACGAGAAAGACGAGGACGAGGAAGACTCGGATCTGAAGATGAAGCGAAGGCTCAGATCTGGATGAACTGGCGGCGGGAGTTAGAGTTAGGGTTAGGTTTAGGAATTTGGATTAGTACTAGGGTTAAGGACCTGACTCTGATACCATGTTGAAATTTGAAGAGAAAAGAGTTTCTTGGAGAGTTTCCCCCTCACTCTATACTTTATTATTTATAGAGATGAATTAGTTACAAGTTAGTCTCACAGGCAATGTGGGACTAAACAAATGCTAAACTAATACTCTCTTCTAACAATGTACATTATATGAAAGAGGTCAAGGGGTGATTAGTGGCTAACCATTATACTACATGATCTATCTACTTGATAATTAAAAGATGAGAAGTAATGAGTGGCCAACTCCTAGAATGTAGAGGCTGCATGTACAAACAACCCTTGGTTATAATCACGTAGTTTTTATCATAGGCATGAATCAATTGGTGATAGAACTTTCTTCGTAGGGATAGAACATTCTAAATTATTTGATCGATTAAATAGCTGTTGCTTAGTGCCATTTTCATTTTCCCATAAGGTGGAAAGTCTGTAATAGGATTTGATTGATTTGGGGGCATATACAAGAGTCCGATTCATAGGCAATATCATTTGTCAGATTTAAGGCATGAGTATATCTTAGTTGAAGTGATTTATTAACCATTCAACTAACCATTGGATAAGAGATTTAGGTTCTGTATCAAACTTCATTGCACTAGGGCAGAAAGCCTACATCTTATAAAATGTGACCTTACTAACCCTTCAATTGGCATTTGGATCATAAACTTAGGTTGCAGCTAGGACTGGAAGTCAGATATTGGCCATGTTTTAAGGATATATGAATAGTTGGTTGCTTAAATTTAGTTTTCATTCTCTTTTTCCTTTCTTTCATGGTCTCCTGCCTGGGCCTTGATGCGCCTTGTAGTGACATATGGAAGGTCACAAGATAACCTGCAGGCATTAAGTTGTCGAACAAATTTCTTCTAAGTTTAGCATGTCTTGCAGCAGAAGCAACATGATATAAGCTTTTCTTACAAGACTATAGACAGCGTCTATCATTTATAATCAATGCGTGACAAGACCTTATGTGAAAGCAACTCTACTTGATTTGACAGTATTGTATTTGTGTTCATATTTCATTTGCGTCAGTTGGCCGGCATACAAAGATGATTGTTCTGGATATAAAAAGCACAGTAAAGGTTCGGATTAGCAGGACACAAGTGCACGATATCTGTTTTAGTTTTTTTAGAAAAGCAGACTGGATGCTTTCCTCAGTGGCTGACTGAGCTGAGGTGAACCAAGGCCACATAAATTATTCTTATGCAACCACATTGATCATTGAGGTGCAAAAATGTGCTTAGGCCGCTTATGCAGGCTGCTCAACATAAAAATGCATACATGGCCTGCTTAAGCATCTTATTGATAGAAATGGATTCTGTTACCTACTATTATTTAGGATATAACCTTGGTTTGGACTGGGGTGGGGGTCCCTCCCACCCTCCCTCCTTCCCTCCTCCATGAAGGTGCTTCCCTCCTGACCATTGACTACTTGAAATAAGATAGTTTTGGCTTCAGTTGACTTGCAGTTAAAATTGTAACTCAATGACCTTTGCTTTGCTTCCTTGATGACTGCCATCATTAATCCTTCATGAAGCTCCTACCCTCCTGACCACTGATGACTTAAAATATGGGCATGTTTGGCAACTGGAAAGTAGGTGGAATGTGGACCAACAACTTTCCAATTTTATCCAGTTTGGCAGTTGGAAAGTGAAGGGTGGCCATGACAGCATTTTGGCCCTTTTCATTTTCTTAAAAAGTTGAAGAAAGTGAATGGAAACTAAGAGAGAGGAGAGAGAATAAAAAACATTTTTCACGTATTATTTTAGTTTTGCTTGTCCACTTGCTGTTTCACTTTCCATGATAAACCAGACAGAACAAGAAGAATGCTACTGCCACATAAGTTGCCACCTCGAGCTTTTTTCTTTTTCTTTTTCTTTCTACCATCCAAACAAGATTTTGCAAAATAGAAAGTAATAAGAAACTTCATTCTTGAGAAAGTACCTTCTCTATTTTTCACTTTCCATTGCCAAACATGCCCTAAGATAATTTTGTCTTCAGTTGATATTCAGTAAAAAAATTTAACTTAATTTTGTTTTCAATTGTCAAGTTGTCATCTCCTTCCTCTTCTTCTCACTCTCCTTTTCTCTTTTAGCTCCGCTTGTGGTGTAAACAATCACTGGCAATTGCTTCAATCACAAGCGGAGGTGAAGGATTCGTTTTTGTCTTCATAGATGCAAGCGGCTTGCTCTTCCTTCTTCCTCTCCCTTCCCTTCTTTCTTCGTCTCCTTCGCCTCTGCCTTTGCCAAAAGCTCTGGCCTATGCCTGCCGTTGGAGTAGTCTTCGGCTATGTTTAAAAAAAAATGTCCAGGTAGAACATAGGTGCCTGCCTGGGAACTTAGGCAATGTTTCAACACCCTGAAGCACCCAATGAAACTTCAATATATTTTTCATGTTAATTTGGAACCGAGTGTTTTGAACAACCTTGATGGTATAATATAAATATTATAGGAATCTAGAAAGTGGTGGCGTCTGTGTGCAACTTCCAAAGATTGTTTTAATTTGTGAGTAAAGATATCTTCCACTTTTTGGTACTATCAAACAGTGCTTTCCAGGAGATTGTAATAGGTACTTACATGGATAATCATTTGCAATTATTTTAAAAATCTCCTTACGCAGAAAATTAATATATATGACATTGGCTCAGCAGCTCAGAAATGCAGGTGGAAAGTAAATTGTTGAACTTGCAGATTGTCGATTTGAATAAGGAGAACCGAAAATAGGGAATTTTTTTTGTGTAGGTTGGTCACATATATGATGTCCCTGACATCTTCCTTACTGCATATATCTGCTTAATTGATTAACTTTAGTCTTATGAGTTATGATAAGAGAGAATCTAATTGCAGTTGTTTTCCGTCAACTTGAGTTGCATTCATCGTGCTAAATGTTTATCTGTCTTTTTGTAGTATAAGACCAAAATGGTGACAGGACAGAAACTAAGTTTGAGTTTACATAAAGTTTGTTCTCATGATCAGTGTTGCCCATGCTCATCTTATTGCCATTTCATATCTTCTCACTTCTATTTTGTTAGATATTCATCAATTATTATAATTGCATTGAGCAGGAAAACCTAATTACCTCACTGGTCTGAGCTAGGTTCTTAATGGATTGAATCAACATATTTCAAGTACCAAATTTCATTTTGGGAAGAGTCCACAAGAGAGCGTCCTTGATACGCTGCCCAACAGGACAAAAGAGGAGCTCTTGCACGTAAGTTGATTCCCAAATCGATTACCTTTTTAAAGGCATAGATTCTGAAGAAATCTATACATCTCTATGTCGCCAAATATGAAAATGGAAAGAAGATTATGGATTAACTAAATCATATAACTGATTTCTTTGCATATGGCTTCATCAATTTATGGGAAGCATGATATAAGCCATGCATGAATCTTGAACTATTTCACATGGGATATAATAATAATGTCCATTTTAATGTAAAAAGTTGCTCTCTTCTCATACTTTTGAGTTTGATATATTAATAATATGCCATTTTTGGTTGTCTCAGAACTGGACATCTATCCAGGAGTTGCTTCGCCATTTCTGGTCGTCATATCCAATGACAACAACATATCTGTATCATAAGGTAATATTTTATTTAGTTCATGCATTTTTTCATGCTGCATTTTCTAGAAAGACAACGACATTATTTTACTTTGTTGTATGTTGTTTCATGCCGCCATTCTTTTCAGCCGGTTGAAATAGTGTACATAATTATAATAATGATAACATATGTTCATATCTGGAGGAACTCATTGAGGTGACCATGATTGCGGATGCTTCAGTTTCCCTCTTTTCTTTTTTAGATTATGTGATCAAATATCCATCAATCGATTCAACTCTTTATGTTTATCGCCACTTTTTCCCTTACCTACAATCATGTTATGTGTTTGCAACTTTTTTAACAATATCACTGTTAATCATTTTTGTTCATGACTAGAATAGGGCGGCGGACATATTGCATATTTACATGATTTTTTCTTCTGTTTTGGTACATACTCTATTATGCGCTTCAGTACAAACCTATGCCTACGGTAATTATTCTATTATATACACTATTATGTGGCTGCAGTTCGGTAACATACTGTATTATAATCAAGAAATATCTTAAGCTTTCTTTAACCTTTACATTAGTGAACTATTATTTTTTAGTCTCTCGAACTTTCCATTGTTATTGACAGTGAGCTACTGTGCACTTATATGGAGAATAACAAGGGATAGACAATGCTAATAGATAGGCTATGTGAATATGGAGAATCCTAAAGAATTATGATATAAACATATGATGATAAAGCAATAGTAAAATTGTACACGTGTATCTTCTAATGTTCATTTTTGGGTAAAGTTAGACTTGTTCAAAGAGCATAATATCTCAGTTATTATGAAATATTTTCAAGGTATATGAATTCAATATTTATCTTCTTTGCGCTCATCACATATCTGTCTTCAAGCCAGTCTAGTATATTGGCATGCCTCATTTACTCATCGAGTATCCATCTAGCGCCTGAGCCTAGTGCATGTATTAAATGAGCATGTATTTTATGGGATTACACTTTCAACATAAATTTGGAGCAAGTTGAATTGATTTCAAAATTTTGCCTAAAGGACAAACAAGTAGGTGTCATATGATGTTTTATTATGGTTAATTGAGAGCAAGGGTGGGGTTGATGTTTCAATTTTGCTTAAAGAAGAAAAAAGGAAGTACAATATGAGTCTATGACACTTCCTAGTTGTTGAATTCTCCCAAATATGGATCTCTCTTTGCTCACAGGACCAGCATAACAGAAAGAAGAAATGCCAATGCGCTCTTTTCTGAAAATATCTGCCTCCAACTTATCTTAGGATGTATCTGGTCATAGCATGTTGGTGAAGCAATGCATTTTTGTCATCATGTAATTTCAATTACAGTAGTTACTAGTTAGAATAGTTACTAGTTAGAGTAGCAATTCATTGTTGGATAGCTTTCTCTTCCAACTATATTAGATAAGCACTTATAAATATTAATTGGTCAATCTTATTTTATCCTACGCGAGCGATTAAAAAAATCATAATTGAAAAAAGAAACCCTTCTAAAATTGTTAAAGGAAACTTTTCATACAATTTCATAGATGTAATCCAAGCTGCGATCATTTTTAGCACAGATTGGGCAATGCTGTTTGACCCCCAATGTGTTGTTGCAACTAAATCTGGAGATCCAAAAGCATATAAGAAACATCAACTTTTGGATTATCTTGTAGTGGGAGCCACATAGGAATCAACTACAAGCAACAAAACACAGAATACTATTCTTATTAAGCCTCATCAAGTAAATTAATTCCAAATAAATCTAGTGGGACATTGCACGCATGTAGTGAAAACTAATTTATGTGCGAAACTATAATTTATGGGGAGATACAATGCCAGTGCAAGATTCTTTTAGGGTTCTTCTTTGTTCAAGAGTAACTGGCTTTCTTTCTTGATGTAACCATCTAGTTGACATGGGATTTTTGTATTCATGTTGAGTAATGTTTGCTCTAGAAATATCTGAACCCGCATATATGAGTCATTGTATTTTTAGGCTTTATATTTATGCCATTTTTCATCATCCAAGTCTAAATTTTATATTCTTTCGTTGCAATTATTTATGCCGCATACTAACTTAGTGCTCTGGGATTGTATGTCTTTTTGAATTTCTTTAATTTGGTCTTTGGTCCTGTATCTTCTCCAGGTTTTAAAGCTGAAAGATGCCATGACGCAGATCTATCTGAAGCTTCAGGTATTCCTTTGAGATTCATGTTCTCCGTTCTGTTCAGATCTAAATTCCTTTACTTGGCCCTGCCAGTTATAGCGATCTTATATTTATTTACATATCACACTAATTTTTTGATATTCTAAAATTAACTATGTATGTCGACCATAGGCAAGCAGATTTCTGTGATTCCATGAAACTCTACAAATAAGAATCATTTTTTTGGGGATTAATGTTATAGAAGAACATTTGAACTTCCAGCAAATCTGGAGTGTCATAAGCTACAGCTGACATAAAGCATCTGTTGCATGCTTTATATGAGAGCTAGGATTTTTCTTTGTTTCTGGAGCCGACTGTTGGTGTTGTGCTTATAAAATTATAAATTTTACAATATGTATAAATTTTACAATATGTATAAGTAAATTCAAATATGTTAATGTGAAGTTCTTAAATTCTAATCAGTGCTACCATATGTATCAGTTATATCGGTAGATGCAGCATGCTCCTGTGCAGTTTTTCTTATAGTTGATTAATTATTCTTTCTAATAGGTGAATGACAGCAAAATCTATTGCAACTATGGGATAGTCTGGCAGTAGCAAGCTATCTTTACTAGTCATCATTTGCACTTCCTTTGTGACAGTTTGTTTCTTATTTGTGCATACTAGTGAATGGGTGAAGGCCTGAATTTTTTTGACGTTTCATTTCATTGGCACCATCTTTTTTCTAATTTGAACTGATATCTAAAACAGCAGCATTAGCCTATAAAAAATGCTGGAAATCTTCTAAAGCTGTTATTGCCTCCTCTTGACCAACCTTTTGTGCCTCTTCTTGACCAACATTTTTTGTGCCTCTTCTTGACCATCTCGTTTATAGGTAATATGGAAAATGCTAGAAATCTCTATTAAGCTGCTTATTTTCACATCGTGGAGTTTCTTATTTGTTTATAAATGGGCCAGTTCAGCTTAAGAAATTGTAATTGCTTTTATGTTTGAAGTATTTTTAGAGCAAGTGTTTTATAACTTCAATATATGAAAAATTCAGAAAATAAAGGAATCAGTGCAGTCAGATTACAGGCATCAGGTCTCTCTCCTTGTGCAGCCAATGCTCCAGGTAACTTGTCTTCTTTAAATTTTCTGGCAGTTGCAATAAATTTCCCTCAACCCCTAAATATGCTCACTAACATCATAGATAGAATGATTGAATATATCATGTTGAAATCATAATATACGCTGCAAATGGTGGCTCCACCTAAATTATAGGTCATATGCTTCTAACTTCACATCCAATGACGGTCGCAACTCGCTAGTTCAAAAGAGGAAATCAGGAGAAATGAACCACTAGAACCTGATCTTGAGCCGTAAGTCGTTGGAGTTTTGCAAGGCACGGCCTTTGCTTGCCAAGACACTATCCTTACTATTGCTAGACGTCAAGAGTTAAAGATTAGAATTTAGTGGTAATTGTGAAATACTATTAATTTATTCTGTATCAGGTTGAATCCATCAGTGAGCAGGTCAGGCTGTTATGCAATAAGCAGCTGTAATCTTATACCGTCTTTTACGCTCGAAACACATTGTTGGTTCTGGTAATAGTTTTATGTAACGGAATAACTGATATCCTTCACTGATGCTAAAACTTAACCACTTAAACGAAAGCCATTATGCCTCTACTTCATCCTTTTTGATCCCTTCTTTCATGTGCCACCCTGGTTCTTCAATTTTGAGGTCAATAAATTCTCCGCTTGAGGTAAATCTTAATCTGATGTGGGATTCAGACCCAAAGGCATCTAGCCATCAAAATAAGAAGGATAAACTTACAAGCAAAAAGTCGAGTTCTAGAGTTGGTCAGGCGGGTACAAGTCAAGAAACCAATACTTAGAGTTGGAGAATGTCTTTCCCTCTATTTTCTAGATGTTGATTCTTTTTATAGGAAATGGGAGGATGAAGAGTTAATAATTATATGCCTAAATGTGCTTCTGCTAGAGTCTCTCTTGCAGATGACGATGCTAACTGATCAACTTTAATCCCTTTATAGCTATGGATGATTTGATTTTGGTTCTTGAAATATTCAATTCCAAGTATTGAATCCTTATATTCTTTTGATATAGGCTTTGGATGCGGCTTTTGCTCACTACGATACTGAGCAACAAAAGCAGTCCACAAAATCTGGTGCTAAGCCTAATGGATTTGTTCAGTAAAATGCCATTTCACATGCTGCAACATTCTTATGTGTACATTGAATTAATTTTTGGTATCAAATATAATATTATGAGTTAATGTTTTTCCTGCGGGTAAGCCTTTTTTTAATTGTAACTTCTCTATACAGTATTACAGTGTGTAGGTATCTCTGCTTGTTATATTATTCTACACATCATTCTCGGCTAAATGTGAGCTGGCAAAACTGGAACATAAATTCCTGATCGTGAATATTCGTAATAAAATTTCGCGGCGACAGTATTGTGGGTCGTTGAGGCAGTTCAACTTGCATGGTTGGCTACATAATTTAAGGATATCAAAAATGCCCAATTAATAACGTTGCATATTGTTTTCATTTCCGAGTTTGGAGCTGTTCGAATGTGGCTTTTTGAGCTTCTGTTAAACTTGAAATCAACATCGTCACGTGTGGAGTGAGGGATGCCCTTTTGTTGAGTTTGCTGCAGAAGTCTAATAGCATTATTACTTGTAATGATTGCTGAACGGGTCTCTTAAGGTTCGGTTGTGGATTGGATGATAGTCGGATCTATGGGAGATGAAAATGTTGAATCTATATCCAAAATGTGGATGACTCTGAATTATCATAGCAAAACTGAAATCTTGCTGCTCGCAATTCACCATGCTTTTCGGTTATGTTTTTTTTTTTGGGGGAGTGAACCTATCTAACCCCAATTAAAGATCATCTTTAATGTACTTAAGTGTTTAACAGCTAATTATCATAGCAAAGCTGAAAAAAAATTTGACTTTAAAGGTCAGTTTGGGCGGTCGAGTATAATAAAAAAAATACTTTCAAGTTGATTTATATATAAATTGAAAATCTAAAATGGTTTCTATAGCACGGAGCTATTTTATAGGTGGTTTCTACGGGAATAGGTGGTTTCTATGAGAGGGGGAAAAAGTTGGCCCTAGAATTGAGCAGTTTTTGTTAAAAGTTGGCCCCTAGAATATTATAAAGTGATGTGTGGGTGCACAATCTAGCCCACGATAAACAACAGAAGAGAATGTTGTATTGTTTCAACACATATAAAAATTAGGTGAATCCTTAACGCATCTTTTAAAGTGAACGTCGTAAAAATTATATATGAATCTTCTTTGGAATTTTTTTTAAAGGAAATTAATATTCATAATGATATGCCTTTAACTGTCACAATTGTTTTCTCTCTTCTTTATCTCACTCTTTTACTTCCAAATTTATGATGTTTAATCCATACTGAGACTTTTCTCTCTTTCTTGCTTCATCCCAAATATTTTAGCACTTTCCCCTAGAAAATAGTTTAGAAAAAAACTCACTTTTTTCATAATAAGTCTCATCTATAAAAAGAATAGATTTATAGTCCACTAGTAATTTTAGGTAAGTATAATACAATTTTTATTATTTAATAAAATTTTAATTAAAAGTATTTTTTCAGACTATTTTTTATATAAATAATTATTCGTATGTTTATTTCTGGATTTTTTTTTATTATTTGTTAATTAGATTTTAAATACATAAATAAAAATGAGAAAGAGAAAGAACGAATTTTGGTAAATGTCATGGTATTTTAAGTCGATCGAGGGAAGGGAGAAAATCATTATGACAACATTTTTAGATATGCTTCTTAATTTATATATTTTTATCCAAATTAATTAACTTAGAAAGACCACCGGTAACAATATCATCCTTGAGACGAGATCCTCATCGAACGCGTAGTCCGCTAACCTTTGAACCGTCTCGATACCACGCGGGTTTAGCCAGATTCCGAATCGGATCCGTAATCCAAAAAGCCCGACGTGAAAGATTCTCTCATTGCTTACCGAAGAAGATCCAAGCAAGGAGGCAAATTAAACGGGATATTCCAAAGATTCTGATCCAAAACCTCGTCCGCTTCTCCGACACAAACCCTGAATCATGCCGCTCCGAGCACATGGATTCTCTGCGCTTTTCGGGACTCGAGCCGCGCTGAATCGAGTTGCTTAGCGGCCAAGAAAAGGATGTGAATCAATGGATGAAGGACAAAACGACAGCGCCACCAATCCCCAAAAGGAGGAGGATTTCGTAGGATTTTCGTAACTACTCCGAGTACGATCAGCCCGGATCACACGTTATTATCGGATATTATTTTTATTTAAATTTTTTGTCGTTTTTTATTTTTGTCTCCCGGCCATCATGCATGTATCCTCGAACACAAGTCGAAATTTAAGCTAAACGATTTATACTTAATGGGTCTCATAACTTATTTTGCAATAAATAGGATCCGAATGTTTAGGACATAACAATAGTATATACAAAAAAAAAAGATATTTTTACATAAACTCGAGAAATGAACCATTATTACAGATGCCTCGACATAGGAGGATCAAAGGACATACCGAGTTATCGAAATGGAGATGCCTTTTTTTTTTTTGTGAAGAATGCATCGTAAAGATCAACTATATCTTTTATTTATACTCTTTTTTTTTTTGGAACGCCCTTTTCTCATTTCGGTATGATTTTGTTGTGTCCCAAAATGTTTCCATATGTTCTTCTAAGAAAACAACGTGGCACTTTATTACTACTTTAGTCTCCTCTTATTTTCCAAAAAAAGAAAAAGGGGGGCAATACCTTGCAATTTGGCGGCAGGCATATAAATACTAAACGCACTGCCAATGGGCGCACACAAGCGCCAAGTTGCAAAACCAACAGAAACGAAACAAATGCTAAAAGGATTTAAACCACCGACGTATTTTGTTGTCGGATCACATGAGATGCACAAAAATCCCCAAGCGAACCATAAACAGCAGTAACTTGAAAAGAAAGCAACGAGCATCGTCACATCATCGCATACGTACACCACGACCTTAATTTCTGAAAATAGGAGGGAAAAACAACTAGAATATTTTCACGAATTGTAATGTATGGTTCTAAGCTTTTACTTTTATAAACTCATCGGATATGAGGATGAGTTTGCAAGAGATTTACTCTTATAAATTTACCGTATCATATACGCATAGCATCCACTTTCTTCTAATATTTTAAATATGAATTTTCCAATGTATGGTTCTAAGCTTTTACTTAATTTGCACCTCTAAAGCTAAGGCAGGTGATCTGAGGGAGTTCAGACTCCCAACTCTTTCGCTATTCCCACTCTTTATAAATAGTACTAATATCATTTTTGTTGAAAATAAGATTCTCAACTTGCTGGAAACCTAAACAAGTAGTTTATATAATTATATAACAAGGAAAACAACTAGAATTACACGAATTGTAATAGAAAACTCTCTTCCGGCCAGGACGGGAATTGCTCACAGAAAATGGTATCCAAATGAAATGTGACATTATCGATCTTAAATCATTACAATTATTGAATAATGTCCTTATAAACAATTAAAATACCAGTTCAATAGAAAAATTATCCATTAGCAAAATTATTGATCTTAAATCTATATATACTATTTATGGATAGTGAGAGATTAGATCGAAAACTTTTAGCTCTCACATATATGGTGTGAACCACTGCACTCCTATAAAGATGATTATGATAAGAGAGTCAGTTTGGCAAATCTTTTAAACCTGAATAAGGCGTTGATTCTAACCCGCTTTTATTCTAAATTGGTTTGTTTCATTCCGTTGAAGGGTTAGATTAGAAAAGAACCTGTCTTAATGCTATTTTTTTGGCTTGAAAAAACTGAGAGACAATTCTGCCACTATTTTAGCCAATTACACAAGACAAGCAAAAATTATGCCAAAAATGATCTT